CGGAGACTCCTGTCCGAAGATAGACGGGGCTGGTACTGGCGTGAAAAAAAATGGGCGAGCACCAGAAGCTGGATGGGAATCCTGCTGTGGTCGATCTTGCATAATTGAATCATCATCTTTCGTTGCGGAAAAAGGACGGGGGAATTGAAATTGTTGAGCTCCAACATTTGGATGGATCGAAGTTGAATCAGAGACTTGTTCCGTAGATCTCGGAATCCTTCGTTCACTGGTCTGAGCCTTACGCGATTTTCTCACTTTCAATACTGATAGTTTGCTTGCTTTCTTTGCTGAAATCATCCTTTGAGATTCTGAATCAGTGCTGGAATGTGAACCAATTCGCTACCATATGTTGTATACACAACCTTGCGTAAGACGTTGAGCTCAGATGATCTTAGGATCTCTGTTTATTAAGCACACACGCTCATCAGATCAGCAGCACCACTGCAGGAATCTGCATCGTCATCCTATTTCCCTACGCTACGTCCAAGGGGCGTCCGGTATGAGTCCAGAATACAACACACTCCCTTCACTCCGCCGCTACCTCCTCCATGCCCTACCTGAAGCATGCCTCGCACGTAGTGCAGCAGGCACAGCAGGCAGTGTCATGGGGGGCAGCGGGGAGCCACGCGATGCAAGCGAAGCATGCGATGCTGGAGGGGCTTGCGCTGTGCAACAATTTTATGTATTCTACTGTAAATAAAGTTGTCGTGACTTCTCAACTCTCATTTCAGTGCGTAGAATGTCAACCATGACTTGAATCTTTTCGAAACCAAAATAGCTCTGTTATCACAAACCTCTGACACCACCTCTACTCTTAGGAGCGTCACAAGTTCACTCGCAGGGCTACAGGGATAGCCTCAAGACACCTACACGCACGCAGTACACAACTAAAGGGAGCATTCAGAACGCCTCTAGATGAAACAATGCGCTTGTATTATTTACAAATCAAAATGAAACTTCAGTGCGCTTGGCGTATCTACAATAAAAATCAACCAATTGTCCCCGGAATATCAAGAAGCTGCAATTCTGATCGACTCATGTGCAGTTGCTCAGCATGCACAGCGCAAGCCCCTCCAGCATCGCATGCTTCGCTTGCATCGCGTGGCTCCCCGCTGCCCCCCATGACACTGCCTGCTGTGCCTGCTGCACTACGTGCGAGGCATGCTTCAGGTAGGGCATGGTGGTGGCGGCGGCGGAGTGAAGGGAGTGGGAGAGCTTGGTGAGGGTAGCGGAGACAGGAGAGTCGAGGTTGACGAGCATCTGCTCGACGAGGAAGTTGGCGACCTCCTGCTTGATCTCCTCGCCGTGCTTCTCTTCGAGCCTGTGGGCGAGGATGGCGAAGCCCTTGAGCTTGTTCTTGGTCGACGGGTCGTGGATGTGAAGCTTGCGGACTCGTCGGGGCTCATAGGGGCATGAGATCCTTGGAGAGAGGAGGGGAGGGGAGGGGCGACGTCTGGAGGGGCAGGAGGAGGGGCTCAACGCAGGTCTTTTGCCTAGTCTTGCGATTCGGTATGCGTTGGTGGCGGATACCATGAGTGTCAAAGAGGCGAGGAGGAGGAGGGAGGGAGACTTGAGCATGAGTACAGCAGAGGTCGAGGACAAGTGTAGCGTATACGCCGTGCAGGAGGAGAGGAGGGGGGGGAACAAGTGGTAGGCGGAGTATGGGAGTTGAAATGAGGAGGGAGGGACGGGTAGTTGGGAGGGTGGGTGGTGCGGGACATGACGTGCGAGGGGAGGTTCCAGGAGGGGTGGTTTTCCCTTGTCTGGTCCTGGAGGGGTACAGGCATAACACTTAAAGGGCTCGTGTAGTAAATGTCTCAGATATTTTATAGTAGGGGCATGCCACTCGATAACCCCACCCCATCTTTGAATGCTTGTCACAGGGGTGGGCACGAGACCTTTCGGTCCGCCGAAGGGACTCAACTCAAACTCGTTTGAGATATGGGGCCACGTGTGTATCGGATGCACTCCTGAAGGTTTTAACGAACTGTTGAAGCTACCTAGAGAGAAAGTGCTCAAAGTAGGGGGTGTACCACGGTCATAAGGAGGGGTGTGGAGCGGGGGGTTGGAAATCGAACTGATGTGGGTGTGCCGGGGTGGGTGGTGCGAAGGGACTCAACGGAAGGGCCCGGAACTGTCGGACGTCTCAAGAAAGAGACAAAGAGTCATGTAGTAAACTTGTTGACCAGACTTGAAATGGTGCATTTTCACGTCAGCCCGCAATATAAAGGGATTTGAGGGGTACTGTTAACATGTTCTATATCTGTGGGGTTGCTGTAGTTTACCTGAAGTTGCTTGCGACTCGTGAGATCCGGGAACGGGTGGTGGGTCCTCTCCCACACAAGGGGGGGTGGGACAGACTGTCTGTGAAACATGGCCTATATATTGTACACACGACTACATGTATTTTATAGTTGGAAATTCATTCCAAAATGGAAGTAAACAATTGCTGCCTTTCAGCCTTGTGGTAGGACGACAGATAGAGAGACAGTGCTGCCTTCCTCGGACACATAGGGGTTTACTACCGCAACCTTTCATCATCACCCACAGTCGCCACCTCACCCGCTCCCTTGTGCCCGTTGGGTACCGACCTCCTGGTGTGTTCATACTGCCCTTCGAAGCTATCCCAATACCTGTTCATCTCTACCTCCTGTGCTCGTCTTCCTCTCCTCCCTTCATCTTCAACTGTACTCATGCTCAAGCCTCCCTCCCTCCTCCTCCTCGCCTCTTTGACACTCATGGTTTCCGCTACCAACGCATACCGAATCGCAAGACTAGGCAAAAGACCTGCGTTGAGCCCCTCCTCCTGCCCCTCCAGACGTCGCCCCTCCCCTCCCCTCCTCTCTCCAAGGATCTCATGCCCCTATGAGCCCCGAAGAGTCCGCAAGCTTCACATCCTCGACCAGTCGACCAAGAACAAGCTCAAGGGCTTCGCCATCCTCGCCCACAGGCTCGAGGACAAGCACGGCGAGGAGATCAAGCAGGAGGTCGCCAACTTCCTCGTCGAGCAGATGCTCGTCAACCTCGACTCTCCTGTCTCCGCTACCCTCACCAAGCTCTCCCACTCCCTTCACTCCGCCGCCGCCACCACCATGCCCTACCTGAAGCATGCCTCGCACGTAGTGCAGCAGGCGCAGCAGGCGGTGTCATTGGGGGCAGCGGGGAGCCACGCGATGCAAGCGAAGCATGCGATGCTGGAGGGGCTTGCGCTGTGCATGCTGAGCAACTGCACATGAGCCGAGAGACAAGACGATATGATACGTTGGTGTATTTGTAGTAAGAGATGTATTCTGAAGTGTGATATTTGTTATAACCTTGTAGCAAAGAAAATGAAAAGACTTATTAGTCACCAACTTGTGTCAAGCTGTTTGATTACATCGGCAATGAGTAGACTGATTTGAATGAAGCCTCCGCAGGAAGGTATCTGATGACCGAATCCAGTGAAGGTGTCATCAAGCCGCCTCCGCAGGAAGCAATCAAATGGAGCACAAGTTAGCACGAGGGTCTATGGTCTTTAAACCATGAATGGCTGTAGTGCAGCACTGAGGCATGTACAACCCTTGCTGAACAGGCGGGCAAGACTACTGAATCTCCTCAGTACCGAACTGGTGCGATCACTTGACCGTTTGAAACCTTGAACTCGGCAGCGCTGGGAAGGTCACGGGTTTCAACTTTAGTACTTGAAGCATCGCACGAGACCGGTCACCATCACAAGTCAGCGGGGTCCAACTGAGAGTGGCCCGGCTCGCCACTGGAGTCCGAGACTACTGGCCCTTCTGATTGCGGCAGTGCAGTTCTGTAGGAGAGCTTGCCTCTGAAATTGTGGGAGTTGTATGTTTTTCGGACGAGGAGTTTGCCATCGACGTCCCTCCGGTCCCTTGCCTCACCTCTCCTCCCCTCTCGGTGGCAGCCTCAGGCCGCAACTCAGCTGAACTCCTAAGGAGGCCCGGCTCGTCGTCGGAGCACCTGCCAGCATCGAGCCGCGCGAAACCGTCTTGGGAGGGAAGGACCGGAAAAAGTCATGTAGCGAAACTGATTCTTCGGTAAATTTCCCTCAGGCTAGAACTTTGAATGGCCGTCAGTACGCGCCTGATCTGAGTTATTACACCGGGCTGCGGTGACTGAGTGAGCGCTTCCAAGTTCAAGCATGGAGGTGAAAGAGGCAAACTTAAAACTGGACTGTCTCTCAGCTTTCTGACCGTGCCAGCCCGGCGGGAGAGAGCCCGGAGCCTCGCCGGAGGCTGAGGCTTAGTCTAGCGGCCGCTCGGGACTCAGGAGGCTCGCCATGCTGAACACTGTGGTCACGGTCACCGCGGCGGCCGGGCCCAGACGGACCCAACTTGGCAATTCTCCAGCCGCTGAGCGCCGGGGTCAGGGTCGGGCCAGTTCTGCAGCCTGTGCCGCCCTGCCCGGCCCGGCTCCGAGCGGCTCAGTGACCACGGCGGCCCCTCGTGTAGGACTTGCACTACTTTTACTCAAAGTTAAGTTAAAAATCAGGAGTGGAAATAAGGGGGTGGGGGTCAGAGAATGCATAAGTCAAGGCCGGGGTTAAGGAAGCCGGGGGGCAGGGGGTGGGTAGGTACTGGGAGGGGGTAGTTGAAGCTGCTTTTCAGGTCTCACTGACCCGCTCCGGTTATCGAATGACTGTGTAAAGCTGGGGGTAGGGTTGTGTCAGCAATCATCCTTGTTGTAATAAGTAGGGGTCGTGTCCGGTCCGTATCATCGGACAGTAGGGGGAAAATAGGGGTACTTTAGTACATGACGAGGGGTATGGTAGGGTGGTGTGATGAGAGGTTGGGTGGGGTAGTCAAATGGGGGGGAAGGAAAAGGGGGGGTATCGAATCTTTGTCATGGCTGTGCAGTGAAGGAAGAAGAAGAGTAGAGACGAGGAGAGCCGAGGATGGAAGCAGAGTCAGGACGAGGAACTTAGACAAGAGGGGAGGGAAAGAAGGGAAGAGGAAGGAGGGGCAAAGGAAAGCCCCGGATAGACTCGATGGCTCAGGTGGCCTAACAAGAATATGCAACATCTGTCAAACTTTGGAATGTGAGAGAAGGGGTTGAGGTCTTGGTGGGGCTGAATTTCTTTTAGCTCATATGTGCTTTTCACGTGTATATATGCAACAGGCCGAAAGAAAGTCGGGGACTAAAGGTATTTTGGTCTAGGATCCGCTGGAACCCGTGCAGATTGATGAAGCTGCAACGTCGTTGTGCGAACGGTTCGTGGTCTTGACAGGCAGGGAGAAAGAAATCTTGAAGGGTTGATGTTTGGGGGGCAAGCCAAGTTTCACATCATGCGATTCTGTCTACGTTCATTGACTCTTCTGATTGTTCTGTTCCATGCCCATGGACAAAGTTCGTCGACCCCTGCTACCTCGTGTGATGGAAATATCTGTCATCAATTACAGACAGAATCCTGCACTTGTCCAAACTCACTATCAGGATGTTCTTGCACCATAGCTATCGGTCTGCTGCAGACACAGAACATAAAACTGATCAGTTCCAACCTCAAAGTGAACATCAAGTGCCGAGGGCAGAACTCCACCAGCAATGTTTACTCGGTATCGTTTGCAGGAGAAGAGTTCAAGATCGATGCAATGAGGCAGTGTGATGGATCTTGCACCAAGATGATCGAGGCGATCAATAAGGACCTCAACATCGCTACCCCACAAGTCTCTACGGTTCGTTTGGACTCGTTTGGCAGGTCTGATGACTTGGAACTTGTGTTGTGAGCAGGTTCGGGTGGAGATCAAAGCTGGGTCAGAGACATCAGTCTGCTCCAAGAGTCAGAACCTAGAGAGCACGATGATTGTTGACACAGTGTATCAGACACAACCGAAATCTGACGGGGTCAGCATCAAGTTTCTGGGTAGGAAGAGCCGTGATTGTTCGAGCGTTTTCACGTGATTGCCAGTGATCGGCATGGTGTGCTGGGTAGCTATTATCAGCCTTCCATTCATCGCCATGCGATTCTGCCGGAATTGTATGGTCCGAAGATATGCCGGCACGAACGAGACCGTCGAGCAAGTGGTGAGTTTTGTGCTGCGAGGCGGCAGAAGTTGGTGAAGGTGCTTGTGAAGGAATACTCGGCAAACAGACAACTGGTTGAGATCAGAGAGAGAAAATTCCGTCTTGTAAGAGAAGAGGAGTTCACAGAGGACCATCGTACCTTGATGGAGGAGTATGGATGGAACGTTTGCAGCTGCCATGAGGCCTTGAAGTGTCGAACCGCAATATTGATTGCGGTGATTGACTACATGAGGAAAAATGCAATCTTGGAGAAGGGGAAGCAGCAAATGAGGGATAGGAATGCAAAGACGAAAGGGTGAGAACAACATTTGTTTCAAACCAGTGATCATTAGCTGATTGCGATGATACAGCTATGATGCGCGGAAGCGTTCGCCCCAGAAAGAGCTGATCATGCAGCTCGAAGACGGGTTCTTGATCGTCAACTTTGCAAACCCCAAGACAGAGTTCAAGTGTGTACCTGAAGTGAGCTCTGATACAACGCTGTTCCCATCATCGTCATCGTGATGTTTGTGCTCACAGTTGATAGACGTCGTTGTCGACGACTGCCCCATCCTCATCACACTTCCGGAGGAGATCAAATACTCAGATGGTGTGACTGGAGAGATTCAAGTAGACGAGAACGGGCGGGTGAAGCGATGGAAAGGCAGCAGGGAGTCTCATCAGTTCAAGAGGAAGGTAGGCTTACGATTATGTTCCTTGTGCTGTCGTCAAGAAACGTCATAGTGAACTCTATAGGATATACCTGATGTTCACCTTTCAGGTTGAGAGACTTCTGGAAGAGCTGGAGGGCTTGCGGTCGGCAGCGGTCGAGTGTGTTGAAGAAGATCTCCTGCTGAGGTTGAGCCGGTCAAGGTGCTTCGACGAGACTGTGACCTTCTTCAACTCCGTCTCCGGCATCGAGATCTTGCGGAAGATGAGAATCGAGTTCGAGGGGGAGGAAGGGACGGACTGCGGGGGGGTGAGGAGGGAATGGGTTCACCTGATCTCCTGCGACATGATCCACCCGGACCGGAAGCTGTTCAGCTCGAGCAAGGACTACGAGTACGACGTCAGGCCGCAGCTCGAGAGCAGCGGCGATGCTGTTGTCAGCGGCTGGAAGAAAGTGACGATCTCCTCGACGGCCACCAGGGAGAAGCTCCTGGCGATCGGCAAGTTCCTGGGCAAGTGCGTTGCGATGAGGGAGCTATTGAGCTTCACCATCTCCCGGCGGCTGTGCGAGAACATCCTCCAGCATGCGAGGAGGCCGGAGGCTGCGGAGGAGGCGAAGCTCGTCTCTGTTGAGGCCTCCCAGCCCCAGCCCGTCGTCATCAGCCAGCGGCACCCGTCAGTCAGCTGCACGGAGGATGAGCGATTGCTGTGGAACGAGGAGAAGGAGAGGACGGGGCCTGACGCCGTCGCGCTGATCATCGGGGACGATGAAGGACAGAGGTAAGCTCCCCGCGCTCCTCTCTGTCCTGCCTTCTCCTCTTCCTCTTCTCTCCTTCAGTTGGATGTTGCTCAGCACCAACATGAGGACGGGAAACGCTTTTTTGCTTGGCTCTCTGACCTGTTTGTGCTCTACAGGCAAAGCTCTCCTAGCAATCTGGAAAGCTCTTCAGAGATTGAGAGTGGGGAAGAGAGGACGGGAGAGGAGAGCTTTGCTCTGTACGAGCAGGGCGGGAAGGGGCTGACAAGGCAGAGCTCGTGGATCTCCTTCGACATCTGGGAGGAGGAAAGCTGGAGCAGCCAGAAAGGAGAGGATGACGAGGAAGCCAAGTACGAGGACGGAGAAGGAGATGGAGATGGACAGGAAGAAGGAGGCGAAGAAGCAGGAGCAGGAGCAGGAGCAGGAGCAGGAGCAGGAGCAGGAGCAGGAGCAGGAGCAGGAGCAGAAGGGGATCTGAAAAGCAGTGCGTCCATGGACATCGACGAGTCTGTCCTGCTCGGACTTGACTCTGAGGTCCGATCGTCGCTCAGGTGGTTGCTGACCACACGGCTGGAGGAAGCGAGCGAGAGCGACGTGAGAGGTGAACTTGTCCCGTTGACCCGCTGACGCGCCTGATCCCTTCAGTTCACCTTCTCCTATGGTGACGTGAACGCGGAGGGAAAGGTGGTGACGGTTGAGCTGAGGCCCAACGGAAGCGACGTGGCAGGTGGGCTGAGAGGTGCGGGGGTTCACGGAAGATGACAGTCCTCCCTCTCCTTCTCCCTCTCCTCCTGCTCAGCTGCCTGCGTCTCGCAAACTTGCCCCCTCTCTTTTCTTTTTTCTTTTTTTCTTTTT